TGTGGCATATGTCCGTGTGACATCCACTGACCCCGATCCTGGTTGTGATCCCTGGAGCTAAGACGACATCAGCTTCTCGGGACAAACGATGGTCAGGCATTTCGAGGATATCTATCACGGGTCCCGACAGCCCAACTGCTAGATCGACCGTGAACATGGTGATCCGACTGAGCACTACGTGACACCCCTGCTGTTCAAATTCTTTCAATACGCTCTTGAACATCACCTTCGGACTACATTCATGCTTGACCTCTTTTGCCCGGAGCTAGTTGATCATGGGCATAGGCGGCTCAGTATGTTTCTGTGGGATTTGGGGGTCTTCGCTCACGATGATGACGAACTGAAGAATCGGGAATGGATGGGGTTTGATTTTGACCACGCGTTTATAAGTGGCGTAGAACTGGTTGACCGTTTTGTTGATGGGACTCACCCCTTTTCTCTTGTCTATCGCGCGAGCGAAGGCTCGGGATATTATGTTGATAGTGAAGATGAGGAGGAGTACTTGATGGGCCCATTAGGAAGATTTGTCTAATAGGATCGATCGGCTTACAAAATGACTTAGTGAAAATGGAAATATTGCTGTGGTGATATATATCGTATTTGACTTCCCTGCGTGCTGAACTCAACTCAACATGCGTCACACATGTCCATCCTCGCGGAAATCTCAACAAATTTCTGACTGGCTAGTACAGTGAGTGCTAGCCAATTTTATTCGGGCTACTTGTAACTTGTTTTGAAGACGTAGGGATCATTCAACGTACCTATGTGCTCCTGCATACATCCTTTCGGGGGGCTGTTCATTCCTCGTCACTTGACTGTGCAATGACATCTGTACAAAGGATATAGGAAGATAGGTATACTCCGTCAGTGAAGTCTCAGCTGTCATCATCATCAAAGTGGGGGCTAGAATTCTGGCTTGAATCATTTTGCTCTCTTCCCGGCAAGGTCTTTTTTTCCTTTTTCTTTCTTTTTCTTTCTTTTTCTTTTTTTTCCTTTTTTTCTCTTTTTTTCTCTCTTTTTTTTTCCTGATATCATTCTTAACAAACATTGACACACGCGCAATATAGTCAGTCCATTTCTTGCCAAGGACAAGAAGCCATGCATAGAATGTTTAAAAAGAAGTGTCCAAATGTGCCCTGTGGGCTTCGTTCGTCCGTCATGATGAGTCACTCAAGAAGTGTTGCTTTCGACGCATAGACGTGCTTGTACGTGAAAGAAGAGAAGAAAGGGAGAAGAAGGAGGATGAGGAGGAGGGGGGAAAACAACACCACGAAGTCTGTAGAAAACACTAACACAGGAGAGGCAAAGAGGCGAAGAGGCGAAGAGAAAAACTTTGTGTTATGCGAAGAAAGAAGACTGAACGCAAAGAACAAAGAGAGAGAAAGAAGCGGCGCACAAAAAGGCAACAAAAAAGAAGAGAAAGAAGAAAATGGACAAGGGAATGAAAGCATTGAGAGGGGTAATGCTGGACTTGGAACATCAACCCAATGTGACTATCTAGGTAATCGATGGATAATTTAAGTTCTAACAAGATTATGTACTTAATGATTTATCTTTTACTTTCTTCTACGAATGTAACGAATGTCAAGAGGACATGTAAGGTATGTGTTGTTGATTCCAAGATGTTATCGGCGAGTCAGTGTCTTTGAAGGGTTTGTTTGGGACAGTTGTACAATCATGTGGAACACGGGTTGGGTACTGTACCTACTTGGGTTGAATGCGGCCCGGCGGCAATCTTCTTGTCTTTGGAAGTGGGTACTAGTATTGTCGGTCGGGTTATCTGTGACTGCAAAGGTGAGAAAATTATGAGGACTGTGCATTCCATTCCCCGTCTTCTGGATATAACAATGGTTCGTCCTTCGTGAGCAGCAATATTGACTCTGGATTTCGAGCGGGATTTGGGTGTGTAGGATGGATTATGGGAATATGGGTGGCGCGAAGTATTTTGGTCCACACGTCAATCCAAACGAACTGTAACGCCATTCAGAACTTGGCAGCTTCATCTGGATGGCCTTCTAGAAGAAACATGGTAAAGTTCATACGCTGCGGTGAAACAGTATGATATCCTGCTGTGAACGCTAGATGAAACCAAAACAAGTAAAACAGAGACGATATTATCCACCCAGCTTCTCATGTCTTCCTGACCAACACAGTCCCGTCATCCAAAGCCACGCCCTTGACAACCACGCACTCATCCATATGAACAACCTCCTCCTCCAGGGGCATAGTACAAGAAGTGGCATCAGTTTCAATGCCATCATCATCATCACTATCCGTCTCTGGCGATGATGATCTCCCGGTGCCACCAAACTTGAGCTTATCCCAAAAAACGTACTCCGACAACAACCGGGCCGACTTCGCCAAAGTCCTAGCGGCAATCTGAAGAAGTTTCTCGTCTCTCCGCGTCAAGGCGGTCGCAAAAAGGATAAAACGTGCGCCTGACCTTGTGGGGAACTTTTTGTAATACTCGCCGTCATCGCCGTACATAACGGAATAAGTCTCGCTGCCCGAAGCGTGTAGCTCTTTCTCGATATCTCTAAAAATGTCGAGTACGTGGCACGTGAGCTTGGCGTAGTTGAGGCCGCAGAAAGGACGGTCGCCCTCGACATCGGCCTGGATATCGACCTTTGCGACGTCGAACCACTCACTGGTGCTGAGACATATCGTGTCATTTTGGACCGGCCTGCCATCTGAAGCTTGTGCTCGTTGCCTTTCCGTCAGGAGGAGTTCCCGCAGCCCATCCGCCAAATCTAACAACCTTTTCTCGGCGAGGTCTTCAGTGAGGCCTTCGGCGGGAAGTGCGGCCCTGGCCATCTTAACAAGCCCTGTTCCCTCTAAACTTTTCTTCCCAGTGTTATGATCATGAACCTGCTTCGCTTGAGCAATGCTAAGCCTCGCACGAAACGCATCTAGAGGCAATCCCCCTTCAGAGATATCGAAACAGTTCCATGCCTTGTCGCGTAAGCGCACCAAGAAAGAACCATGTGGGTTTGTAGGACAATAGGATATCCCAGAACCAGTCGGTGCCCTCCACATTGCTTTATTGTTGTTCTGTATATCGGCGAAGTAGTCCAGGAGCTTGACATGGTGAGTTAGGCCCCCGGCATAGCCTAAGGCAAACATCTTTCCACCCGCGAAGACGCCATTTAAGAACATCAGCTGTAGGCTTTCGAACAAATCAATGCGCTTGTCGAGATAGCCTTCGCGGAGGAGCATGTTGTATAAGTGCATTAGTATCACAGGTTCACGATGTTGCCCCCAGACATGCATCATGGAGGTAAGTTGAAAGTCTAGAGCTTCTACAAGGCTGACGCCGCAAAGAAAGGGCGAACAGTTCCACAAGAAGTTTGGTCCTTCTCCGACAAACTGACAGTATATATCGCAGGCGGACTTGAGTATCGCTTGGATTTGCGCATAGTTGTCTGTCGCTGGACGCCCTGCGCCCTCTGCCGTCAATTTGTCTTTCAAGTCCAAGAATCCCTTGAGGAAGCCTGCCTGTTTGTCGCCGATGTTTAGTAGAAAATGATTTACATCGCGCATTGGGCTGAACTTGTTGGCGTGCGGAGGTTCAATCAAAACGTGCCCCTTGAGTAGATCAAATGTCCAACCCTTTGTAACAGCAAGCGAATCGACAATGCACTGTAGTTGAAAAACATGATGAGGGTGAATCATCTCGCGAATACCAATGTCGGACTTCTCGTAAGTGAGATATTTGATAAACGCGGCAAACTCATGGATCCCCAACATTTTTCGGCGTTGTGCTTCTTTTTGTGCTTCTTCAGCCTTTTTACGGTCCGGGATATTTTTGTGGCAAACGCTGGCCACCGCCATCATCCCGAGGGTGCATTGATCGACTAGGTGGTATAGCCAGCGAATGGTGTATAAACGACGCCATTTGAGACGTTCTTCCGTGGTGGCGTGTCTGAGGTCGAAGTCGTGTTTCCAGTGTTTGACTTCCTTCATCATTCCTTTTGTCGGTCTACCGTTTTCACTCTTCCGGTAATCAGTAAGAAAATCCAGAAGATCGTGGTAGGTATGCACTAGAAACATCTCCTTGGCATCCTCTCCTTTGTTGGCTTCCGAGCTCTCTGCCTCGGCGTCGAATCCAAAGACGGAAGACATGATGCCCATGACGCTGTGATACGTCTTTTTGTCTTCAGGAAAGCCTGCCAAAAGCCTTTCCTCGGAACGTTGTACCTGCAAAATGGCCATGTTGGAAAGGGCACCCGCTACTGCGATATTGAGCCCTTCGTAGGCAACCTCGTACCACACCTCCTGAAGATATGCTCTGAGCTCAAAACACTTTTCGAATAACTCGTAGACAGCCATGATGTAATCGATTTTAATGCCATCCTGACCTAGAGTCACACCGAAGCTCTCTAGCGGCTCCTTCATCGACTCCACGAACACGTCGACGGGAGGTCCCTTCTCGGTATCCTTGGCCTTGGCCTTGCATGCCTCGCCCTCCTTCCTGCGCCTAGCCCTCTTGCCTTTACCAGGCTTAGCTTGTTTCCGCTGATGTCCAACCCGATGGCCGAATTCCTGAGGGGTTGCTTGCTCTGAGTCCTGACTGGCCTCGGGAGCATCAGGGAGATTGAGGGGGGGAGAACTCCTTGATTACCATCCCGTCGAGCTTTTCTTTGGTGAAGGGAAGGGAGGAAGACAGGTAGTCTGACAAGGTATCAGGATGCAGGATCAATTCCCAACAGTGGAGAGCGAGGGCGCAGTCTCGCAGGGCTGTGAGCAAGGCGTTGAGGGAAGCACTGCCATTCTTGACGTCGGGGTGTGACTTGTTGGTTGCGAGACGTTGAAAGGTGGCATAGGGAGCCGCTAGCTCGTCCATGACGGATTGAAGCAAGGCCGTGACGGGCTTTGGAATATCTTCCTTGCTGACAAGGAGCTTGCCGATGAGCTTGCAGTGGGAAACGAGGCTTTCAGGGGCGATCTGCGGTTTGTCGAGAGACACTTGATGGACGATTGTGTTTGACAATGGCAGAGACCGGACAACGGCGTTGGATTGTTGCAAGACCCAGTAGACGAAGGGGCCGATATCACGCTTGTAGGTCTCATATGGGCCGAGTGTGGACGTCATGGTGATGGTAATGCTGTCGTGTAAGTGAACTGAACCTGTGAACAGACAGCGTGATGGAAAAGAAGATGTTCAAAAAATGGATGAAATGATCATTGCAGAGCTGTAGTGTCCGGCGTCCGATCGACTGCCATAATAAGTACTCCGTCCTCCTAATTCCAAAACCAGGCAAGTACCTACCTTAGGTAAGGAGAGCAGCACCGTTCCTATTTTTATGGCGATTCCTGTACTCGGGGACAGGTGCCAATGGCCGTGAGTAACCATATCTCCTTCCGTGAATGCTTCAAAAAAAAATAAAGGAGGAACAGAGGGAGGATCCAATCACATTCCTGTATTTGACCAGGAACATCTGCAGATGTTATTGAAAGGGATTGTCCACGGAAAGAACGAACCATGTCGTTCGGGAAGCGCCCATGGAAGCAGGCCAAAAAGTAGACGGCAGCCGCCATGTTGAAGCCGCCATGTTGAAGCCGCCATGTTGAAGCCGCCATGTTGAAGCCGCCATGTTGAAGCCATTCCTCACGGAAGGCACACCGTGGTGTTGGATATTGCAAGTAAGGAAGCACTACACCAGATAGAGATCGGATTGTTGACAACCGGAAGCAAGCACGGGTAAGAACGAGCGCCGGGACCGGGCCGAAGTGGGGTCCAGTGGACGGAACAGAGCCGGGGAGCTGGAGCTTCCACTTGTGACGCGACGGGATGGAAGCTCCAGGCTCCAGCTGCCCACAAACCATAGAGGTACAATAGCGGTATCCGCGGCCCCACCCAGGTGCCCAGGCGTGCCCAGCCAGTGAGAGGGGCCGCTTCCGATGCTACACCCCCCGTTCAGCGCATTGAAGCAACGGCCCCCAGCGCTGTTCCTGCCTAGCTGCAGTTCAAGCCTCCACCAAGTGTCCAAGCATCATCATCAATACCGCCAAATAAATCAAGCCTCCATCACCAATCCTCTACCACAATCCCGAGAACACAGCAATCGGGTAAATCACCAACCCTTTGACTCGGGCCGAACATATTTCAATCGCAAACATCAACAACCCCTCCTAATTCACAAAGAACGCGGGCCAACCCACACCGCCATCACCAACTTAGGTACCTCTAGTCAACCATTACCACCACTTAGCCAACACCACCTCAAACCCAAGTCAACAACAAACACAGACCCCAAAATGTCCATCATCCAGCAACACACGCAAGCAACCCTCAGCGATGCCTGGCGCACCATCAACATCGACGCCCTAACCGAGGACTCGTCGGTCAACTTCGATGTCTCTACCCTGCACCCTCCCCTACCCGAAATCAGCGAAGCCGACGCGCGCGCCATCAACGGACAGGTGCGCCAGCTGCTCAGGGGCGGCGACGCCGAGGGCGCGCTGCGCGGATGCTTGGAGATGCCCGTGTACAACGGGTCCGAGGCGGCCAAGGAGACGCACCTGCATACCGTCATTGAAGTCCTACAAAGCATCAAGGCGAGCGAGATGACGCCCATGTTGCAGAGGATCTTTGCGCAGCAGGGGGGGAGCGAGTGTTTGGATGTGTTGATGAAGTACTTGTACGTCTTCGGATTCTCTACTCTGTTTCTATCTGGCAATGGCCGAGTTGCGGATGGATAGCTAACTGTTTGGTTTCTTCTGCGAAATAGGTACAAAGGCATGGCTGCCACCTCATCCTCCTCCTCCTCCGCCGCCGACGGTTCCGGCAGGGCGACGCCCGCTCGCGCCATGACGCCCCAGGCTACCGGCGGGTTCAGCCAAGTCGGCCAGCGCCCTATGGCCTCGAACGAGTCGACTGGTTCCGCCATGAGCGTTCTCCTGAGCTGGCATGAGAAGGTTGTAGAGGTTGCTGGGTTGGGTTGCATAGGCCGCGTCATGACTGACTTCAGGAGGGTATAAGGGGGTTACCAAGGGTGGTTAAGGGAAAGCAGGCTGGTTGTTGGTTTGAAGCGATTCGAGGCGATATAGGCACCATTACACTAACACAGCAATAATACATTCGCATTACACATCAACGGGGGTTTAGTTGGAGTTGGTGAAAAGGTTGACGAGCTCGAGGGATTGGGTAGCTCTTGTTCGGGTCACTTCAGCTGGGCTGTCTTGTTTACTTGCCCCTGACGATGTAAAAAACAGTCGCATCAGTTGGACTGGCAACGTCGTCTTGCTGCCAACAAGCTCTTGTGCCGCCTTCAGGATGTTGTTGGCTCCAAGATGTAAGGGAGCGGCGGTTGGCACCAGGGTTCCAAGACCAACGACCTTTGGGAGATACAAGCCACAACAAACAACATACTTTATTTCAACTACACCAACAACTTGAGTTGGTTCCCTTGGGTACCTTATTTCAACAACATGGATATCATGCTCCAACAAACCTTACCTTGACCCAACGACGCCGCACCTTATTTCAACTACACCAACAGCGTGAATTGGCCGCCTCCTTGGCTTCCTCTCCCCCTGGATACTGTGTACATCACCCATTTCGACGACAGACGACAGAAGTACCTACACAGTACGTGATTTGGTTCCAAATGCAGCGCCGCATCTTATTTGAAACTTGAACCAACCACGAAGAGAGCGTGTCTCAACAAACATGGAAACCTTGCTTCAACTACATGGAAACCTTATCCTGACGACCAGAGTGCCTTATCTCAACCACCCAGAAACCTTATTTCAACGTGATTTCCATTTCCTATTTGAGAGAGTTCCGTTTGCCTCTTATGTTATGTTCTGTCGATATTTGGGTCTCCCTCCCCCTTTCACTGTCCGGTCTCCAACAAATCCTTCAAACTCGCCTTCCCACTGCCCCTCCTCAACGGCTTCGCCTGATCCGGGCTCTCCTTCCACCCAATCATGTGAATGATCCTAAACGTCGCCGGAATGCTCCCGTCCTCGTTACCATGCAGCGCCCTATAAATCGCATCGCCCGCCAGCAGCACATCCCGTCCAATCGGCCCCATCTCCCGCCCCAGCACCGCATTGCCCTCCCCCATTGCCTGCAGATCCTGCATCAGCGCAAACATGTCCGGGTAGTCAACCACGATGTCCTCCACGTCCACCGTCAACATCTTGAATCCCGTGCGCTGCAGCAGCCCCCCGACGTCGCGCACGTCAGCTAAGGGAGAGACGTGAGGCGATATGCCGCCCTTACGCTCCTGCTCAGCTAGCTGCAAAGAAGTGCGCAGCTCGTACAAGGTGTCGCCGCCGAGCATGGCGCCGATAAAGGGGCAGTCGGGCTTCAGCACGCTGTTGATCTGCGAGAGCACGCCGGGGAGGTCGTTGACCCAGTGCATGGACATGCTGCTGAGGACCATGTCGAAGGTGTCGGGCGAGAAGGGGAGGAGCTCGTCGTGCTCGAGGACGTGGCGGGTGAGTTTGAAGTCTGGGACGTGGGTGGTGGATAAGGAAGGGTGGTCGACGTCGCGGTGGAGGAGCGAGTGGGAGGCTTCGGCGGCGATGAGCTCGGTGATTTTCGTGGCTAGCGGTTCGGTCACAGGGGGCTCAGATTCGGGGTCCGGATCGGGGCGAAGGAGAGCGCGGGCAATGTTGCAGGAGTTGGCGCCGAAGTCGAGGACGAGTGGGAATTCACGTTTGACGTCCTGAGGGTGATGGTGTTAGTACTCATGGTAAGCAACATGATAGAAGAGCTAGAAGCTTACCAAAAGCCGTTCGCACACGCGCATGGCAACCTCATGTTTGAGATAATCGGCTTGTCGACCTTCTTTGACATTGACAGCTGCTCTTTCCTTCTGCAGCCATTTTGCGCGACGGTTGAAGACTTCAAAGTTGAGACTGCCCGACTGAAAGGCATATGATCGACGGGCCGTCGTCCCGCCCAACGTGAGGAGCGGTTTCCATTTCTGCGGTCGGCAGACTGGAGCCAAGTTCAACCGCATCCTAGAAGTATAGTCGTAAAGCCGGAGACGCAATCTGAGCCCGGCTCAGGCATGATGGGCAAGGGTTAGAGGAGGGGAAGTTTTCGAAAGTCTGAAGACGATGCAACGCGGACATCGAGGTGCCGCGGATTGGTGATGCCAAGGCGGATCTAAATCGTCATAGCTCCTCTTCGATGGCGTGGAAGCCACATTTGTTGCCGGGGTGTACAAGTGCGACTAGCCACAAAAAGGGGTACTTGTGGCGCCTATTTGGCGATAGGGAGCGATACTTTGACTGATAAGAGGGGTGCTTACAGCGTGGTGGCCGAGTTTCGCGGGGAGCCACCCAGTATAGTCCAGCGCCTAAAACTTATTGGATGGGGATCCCCTTTATTTTGCAGTGGAATCGCCAATCCGCCAGTCTATCCACGACTCCCCTGAGAACCCTCGACAACCAGTCCGGAGCCGCCGACCAGCACGCCGACCGACCTTCCACAACTCCCGTTCGACACATAACACGTCGCGAACCCGATCAAGTGTTTCTGCCAACAGCCCTTCATTGTCTCCGCGACCCTGGTTCCTGTTATTT